ATATATATATATATATATATATATATAATTTTAAAAAAAATTTACTCATGATAAAAATCAAATTGTTCTATTTAAATTAAAATTTTGAATTTATTTATCTAAACAAAATATTTAAAAATTGATAGAAATTAAAATCAAAATAATTTTAATTTTTTCTCAACATCCTTATGTATCATAAAGAAAAGTAACCTTATGTATCAATTTTAATTTCAATTTTTTCTCAACAACCTTATGTTCTCAACAACCTTAAACGATATCAATGTAATTTTTACTAAGTATTACACCGTTCAATAATTTTATATTAGATGTGAATTTTGTAAATCCAATTGTTAGATTGAAAATTTATATTACTTTATATTTTATATCAATTTTTTTAAAATTAAACAACAACTTAAAGATAATTAAAGTGTTCATACTTTAACATATTTTAAAATATATATAATATTACGTCAATTTTATTTTATAAAAATAAAATATCAAATTATTTTGAATTAATATAAAATTATATATATATTTATTTATTTATTTATTTGTATACGTGGGTGATTAAATTTTCGTAGGCTGAGCTATGCACACACACTACTATTTAGTCCTCCTTGTAGCTGCCAGTAATATCCCAATTATATCTCAACACGTCACCGTTTTGACTCCTTCTTTTGAAACCATCCCTTTCTTCTGCCTAGATGCTCTGCAGCTATTGGGTCGTGACGCGATTTCCGTGACCGACGCGTCACTTTGACAAAGCTCCCACTGAGGCATATTTCGTAGAATGAATCTGAGAGAGATTGGCCTTCGGATCTGAAATGGGTTTCATCGATTTCATCGTGTTGATGATGGGGTCTCTCTTTTTGTTCAAAGCTTTCGATTTTGCTTTCTGGGTCTCCTTCATCTGCTCCGTTTGATTCCCCCAATTCAGCGTTCAAAACCCTAATCTTTTGCCATGAGGAAGAAGCTCGATACCCGTTTCCCTGCTGTGAGTGTCTTTTACTTTCTCTTCGTAAAGATTTGCTCTTTTTTGTAGTTTTATGCAATTCGGACACAAGGGAAGCTGTGGAAGTTTAAGAAAAGCTGTCTGACTTTGATTTTGATTTGATTTGATCTTATGTTATGTTATGTTTTGTTTTATTTTTATTTTTTTCAAAAAGGAAGTTTTGGGTCATGGTAATTGTTTATAGTTTGCTAGAATTAAGGGGTTTGTTTGTTTTGGCCTATGGTGCTTAACAATTGAACTGTATGGGTTTTTTGTGAAGTGGGTATTATACTGTTATGGAGATGTGTGATGTTACATTAAGGTGCTTCGCTTCGCTTAGGTTGTGTGTTTTCTTTTTCTTATTCTTTTACCTTTTGGATTTATTTGGGTACTTTGGTTTGAGGTTTTTCGATGGAAGTATCAGTTGAGACTGCTGAGGGAAATGTTGGTTTTATGTTATTTTATTTTCGATAATTGTGATTCTCCTACCATCCTCCTTTGTATTGTTGACTTGGCAAAGAACCAATCTTTTTTAAATTCAGTAATTCAGTTATCCGTTGTTAAAATACACCTTCTCTGAAATCTGTTTTGCAAGTTAACTCGAATTCTGTTTGAAACCTGTGTCTACTTCAAATTCTTTAGTATTTTAAAGCCTGATTAAATATTCTAAAATTGTTAATTATTTTTGACATATGTCTTTAAAATAAAGTTATTTATATTAATTATGATGTCAAAAATTGGGAAGAATATATGATGGTATAATGGCAGTGGAACTTGTCAATCTCGGATCATTTTTTACCAAGTGCTATTGTTAGGCACTCCTTTGCTGAACCAGGTGGGAAATATGAGTGAGAGGTAGAAGAGGATTTTGGTTTGGGTTGTAAGTTGTAATAAACTTGCCTTACATGGCAAGGAGAGTAGTAGGGAAGGGAAAACAATCAACGGAAAAAAGGGAGGGAAAGGTAAGGGAGAGGATATCTAGCCAATGGGTGAGTTTTGAGCAAGGTTATCGATTGGGCTTTGAATTGTGAATCACTGAGCTAATTTTTGAATTGTGAATCATAATTTGTATTGATATAGTTTCTCTGAAATAGATCTTCTGCTTAACTTTTGAGGCCTTTGAAAAGATAGATGCATAAGTTTTGTAGCGTACTATATTTTGTTTTCTAGTTTTGTGAGCGATTCTGATTTCAGTAATTGGGGTTTATACGTATTTCTCTGTTATAAATATCTTGCTTCTATCAGTTATCTAGTAGTTTTATTCATTATACTTTCCCTGCATACAAAAGTCATCATGTATAGTTAATAAAAAACTTACAGTAGCTATTGTTTATTAGAGAGTCGGGAGGCATAATAATAATTTTTCCTAATTTCAAGAAAGGGGGCTGACAGGGAGAGACACTGCTTCTATAATCAAGTTTTAAGTTGTAATTATATTTTTAATTTTTAATTTGGACTCTGTTAAATTCTTCTACTTATCTATTAAGTTTAACAATAAGTAAGCTCTCTTAAAATAACTATTTGATGGGATGAAATCTTCAAATTGCAGGCTCGAATAAAGAAGATAATGCAAGCAGATGAGGATGTTGGAAAGATAGCACTGGCTGTGCCTGTTTTAGTTTGTGAGTTGCTTTTACTCACTATGTTGTTAGCTTTAGGCTGTGGCTTGTTTGTTTCTCTTATACATGTTTTTGACATTGTTCTTGAATGCATTTCAGCTAAAGCACTAGAACTATTTTTGCAAGATCTTTGTGACCGCACTTATGAAATAACTCTTCAAAGAGGAGCAAAGACCATGAATTCATTGCATTTGTAAGTCTGTTATGCTATGTATTACTTTTCTTCAATCTCCCATTTCCCATTTTAGTGATTTAGTGAAGATATCTGCAGTTAATCATTGGAACCAACAAATGTAGTGGTATCCCCAAATTAGTCTTCTCACAAATAAAATGACAGTCAATCTATATATGCTTCATTTGCTTATGAAAAACTGGAAAGGAAACAATGTGCAAGGATGCCTGAGTATCACCCAAGACTCATAGGGCCTACTTTACAACAAAACTTTAACTCTTGGAGAAGTTTCTTCAGTCATATGACACACATGTGGTGATGGAGAGGTTACAAAATGCATAGCCTGCATTTTTCTGAATTGTGTGCTATATTTTTGAGGTGATTAACTTTGCTGACCCAGAAATCTAAGGAATTGATGGCACTGGAAAACTGCCTTTAACAGCCCCTAGCAGTTCTCATTTGTGTTCTCATACATCTCTTTCTAAGTTGATTAATTTTACTGTAATTTTCAGATCCTGTTTGTTACAATATTATATTGTTTCTCTCATTTGCCTTCTAAAAGTACTATGAACTCTGAAGTCAAGTCTAACTAGTCGTGAATGTAAATTGCAGAAAACACTGTGTACAAAGCTATAATGTCTTTGACTTTCTGAGGGACGTTGTTAGCAGGGTTCCTGACTACAGCCATGGTCATGGCCATGCTGAGGCTGGTCCTGATGATCGGGCCATTTCAAAAAGAAGGTCTGAAGTTCAATATTTTTTGTTTTGTTCTGTTTTGTTGTACTACTCTTCTGATATACATGTTATTGGTGCACTTGACATTTAGCAAAGCTATATACTTTTCCAGGAAAGCTGTTGGTGATGATGGTAATGACAGTGATGAAGAGGCTAAGAGGAGCAAGATGGTAATTGCATTTTTCCTTGTATTTGCACAAAAATCCTTAATAACATGTTATCTTTCTGCATTATTGTTTGGGGCGACCAGTTTTTCCCCTTCTGCTTACAAAGTTCCCTGTGTTTAGTATCTTGGGCATAGTTCTGCACCAACCAATGAATCATGATTAACTCAAATCAATTTTCCACAAAAAACCTCGTATCAGTAACATAAAAGCCCAGTTATTTCTAACTTTTATTGAAAAAGGAAGTCCCAAGAACCAAGGTTGTCAAACTCTTGAGTTAACTAGTAAACACTTATGACTTTATGATCCTAAGTAGAGAAACAAGTTAACTCTATAGCAAACTCTTTTCTGAATAAACTTGTGTAAATTTTTATAAACTCTTCGAGTTAAGAAGCAATTTAACGAGTTTGACAACCTTGCCTAGAACAATTGCATAACAATGCATTTTCTTCCCTTAGGTTGTGAGTAAACACATTTTTGGTCTCTGCCTCTCCAAGACTGTACCATTGCTTTTAGCCTAGTTTGTCATCTGTGGAACACAATTAAATCCCTAAATATTGCTAGAATTATAATTTCCTGTGCGAGAAGAGTATATGCCTGGCTGTCCCTTAATATCCCATGTTTTGCTCAATAATGTTTTTCTTCTATTCCAGCATGAGATGAGCCACACTGGCAGTACTGGTAGGGGAAGAGGTCGAGGCAGAGGAAGAGGTCGTGGCCGAGGGCGACCACCTCTACAAAGAGATACATATCATCAGGATGCTGAATCTGAGCCATGCACTTCAGTTCAGCTGGGAAACCATCAAAATACAAACACAAATGTGGCAGTATCTGGTGGTTCTGAGCCAAAGGAGATATCAAAGGAGAATATTGCAGTTGCTGCTGTAAGCTCTGATTCTCTGCGGAATATTGATCTGAACGCCAGTACAAATGAAAGCGATGATAAAAAGGCTAGCACAACAGCTGATGCCTCATTGCCTGAACCTGATGCCCCGTTACCTGAACCTCCAACAGAGAGCAAGCATGAAGAAATTCCGGGGTGGTCCCTTTCTGATGTGGACAAGATGGCCATTGATTCAATGAACCTTGCACAACTAAGTAGGCCACTAGAAGAGGATGAGGAAGATTATGACGAGGAGGAGGGGTGAATAATTGTCTTTGGGTGATTAGATTAGTGAAATGCTCATAACTGTAGAATAAGTACATACTAGTGCTATGATTGAGTACCCTCTAGCTCTCGCTCTCGAAACATGTCATGTTGGAGATATCTGAATGTTCTTTTTTATAATCCGGTTTGTCTGTGTTAGTATGTTTTCTTGTAGCTTTGATGTATCTTTCTCTTGACCAGCAATGTTAGCTTCGTGTACTTTTAGGCCTACAATGTATATCACAATTTTAGATGGAGTGAAATTTATGCATCCAAACCAAATTTAGTATTGCTGAATAACTATTTGTTAGTCTTAGCTAAATGTCTGTAACCCTTTTCAGAAATTGAAACTCCACTTATTAGCATGTCTATCAGTATCGATATCAGTAAGTACTAGCAAATTTGTCAAATTGTTTGAAGAAAATTTGCATGTATAATGCCTACCATGCTGAATCATTCTCGTGCAACGAGAGTAGTTTTCTGGATGCTAGTGAGCCCGCGGAAACAATCTTTACGTTCTTTTGTTTCGGATTTTTTGTGAAAGAACATTTTTATTTTGTAAAAGAAAATATTACTTCAAAATATTGTTGCTACAATCGTGTGAAAAATCATTTTTTAACCTAACTTATTATTTTCAAGTCATTTTGATTAATATACCAAAATTACCTAAATTATAACTGCCTTTTAAAGTTAAAAATACTTTAATTTTAATGCAACTTTGTATAAAACTTACTTCATGTCACATTTATTTAAAGTTCTCTCTAACTAACAAGTAATTATCTTAACAAAATATACCGAGTCAATTACATACCAAGTTTTCATAAATATTTTAATATATCCTCAATTTTAACTAGAAACTCTTCTTAGAGAAAAAAAATAGCATAAGTTATTCAGTAAATTAAAATTAAATTGTGCATAATTAATTTTTAGAAAAATTAACTTATTAACTTTTTCTAAAATCTTATTTTTTAATTTATGCATAAATCAATGAAAAAATATATTTCCAATTTTTTTCCTTATAGAAATATTTTTGAAAAAGCTTACTCGTACAGATCTGTCATTACAAACGAATTAATATGATTGCATCGTGTAAAAATACGAGAATAAAATCATGTCAAACAAGGTTAATAGCGTATAAATGTATGTTTGTAGCTTCCGTTGTAACGCACGTCAAAAGAAATACAACGCAGCACCAAACGCAAACGGTAAAGCGAGTTTTTCGCATGGCCATCTCTATTCTCCTTGTTCATCAAAAACATTAAAAAAAAAAAAAAAAAAAAAAAAAAAAAAAAAAAAAAACAAACAAAAAACAAAAAAAACAAAAAAAACAAAAAAACAAAAAAAATAACCTTCAGAAAAAACAAT